TCCTCCTCCTCCTCCTCCTCCTCCTCCTTGAGATCAAGGGTAGTCAAGGAGAGTATAAAATAGGAAGCTGCTCTTTGTTGTTAGGTCCGTAGGGGTAGCCGAAGCCTACTCTTATCGATTTTAGGACCCCCAAGGGGTCGTTAATGTGAGCAACTTGCACACGGGACTTCCGAGATTGTTTGCCCTCATCCGAAAAGGCTGGTTGAAAGACCTTACGTACCCTAAGATCAGGGGTATGGCTGAAAGACCGCAATGAGAAGGAGCCACAAGTAACAGTACAAAGAGACAATAATAAAGGCGAGAGGGACCCAGAGGAAGGGGAGAAGACTGAAAGTGGAGATGAACGCAAATGGCAGAACATGACTAGATAGCAGGAAAGGGGTAAAAGGAAAGAAATTTTAGAGAAGAAAATTTTTCGTCGCTGTTTTGTTTTCGAACCAGAGACTATCGAATGAGAGGCAAACACTACCTCCAGCTCAACGAGAGCCCCCACTGGCTTGGGGTGAAATCAATCTCTCTCTTTCTCTCTTTCTCTCTTTCTTTCTTTTCTCTCTCTCTCTCTCTCTCTCTCTCTCTCTCTCTCTTTCTCTCTCTCTGTCTTTCTCTCTCTTCCTCCTCTCTCTCTCTCTCTCTCTCTCTCTCTCTCTCTCTCTCTCTCTCTCTCTCTCTCTCTCTCTCTCTCTCTCAAGTTTAGCATTGAACTACATCTATTTTCCATGTAGCAGTTCAAGTCATAACACCTCTAAGCTCTAATAACTAATCTTACTTCCTTTCAGTTCCTGAAGCTGACCTTCGATCGTTCTGGCCTGCTAACCACCATCTACAACAAAGTGTCGCACATCACCGAGAAAGTTAGCCAGGACTTGCTCTACTATGAGGGCATGCAGGGTGGAATGCGATCCTCGGGAGCTTATGTGTTCATTCCGAGCAGCGCGACCACCAAACGTGTCAGCAAAGATCCCACAGTCAGCATAAAGGTCCTTAAGGTGGGTCCTGAAGTTTGCCGTAAAAGTTATGTGGTGTCTTAATACGATGTCCATGAAAGACGTAAAGTAAGTGTATGAGTTTATAGACAGTGAAAGATCTTGTCAGTTTGTTAGTATAGTGTTTGAGGGCTTAATCAACTGTTTGCACTATGTGCTTCCCCTGAAGCGGAGAATGTTTCTGAGTGTTCTGTGGTCTGCTGGGCTACTATTATAATGTAAAGCGTATAGAACTTGCTGTCGAGCGGGGATATGCACTTAACAAAAGTATTTATTATTATTATTATTATTATTATTATTATTATTATTATTATTATTATTATTATTATTACTATTATTGTTATTATTTTAATGCCCCTTTCAACCTTATTAGGTTATTTGAGAGGCATGAGCCCCCCGAATTCAACATCTGTCTCTGATAGGATAGAGCCAGATAGGTTGAGCAACTTGATAACTCCACAAAACAGCCCAAGGTCAAGATCACCTATTCAGGGATTCAAACCAGAGCCATCTACTCTATAGTCCAGAATGATACCAACTGAACTAACAGAGTGCCCCATGCCAATGTACATGTTTATTGTACTAACTTTTTGCCCATTAAAGAACACATTTCTGAGTGGATTTTATTGAAAACTGTTGATTAAATTAAAGGCACAAAAAAGCAAATTTTCAGTTTACACGAACTCTCAAGCTAAGGAAATAACTCATCTTTGGCGGTCATTTTCGCACTAAAATTTAACCTCTGAAACCAGGGGACCCCCTCCTCCTTCATTTGCAAATATCTCGACTTGTATTCAAGATAAATGGATATTTTTTTTCATCCAAAGCAAGACAAATGAACAAGCTTTAAGATAATACCAATAACTCTACTTGCCCAAAAATTGTCGAGAGCCTGATTCCACTGCGTTGTGACAGATATAATATCTCGATTGCAGCAGTTTGCATAATGTTAGATGATATTGACATACACAAAAGGCATCAGTAATATCTTATCTTATCTTATCTTTATCTTATCTCATCTTATCTTATCATGATCTTATCTTATCGTGGTATTATTGTTGTCTTATCTTATCATGGTCTTATTTTATCTTATCTTATCTAATCTTATCTTATGTTGCCACATCTCATCTTATCTTATTTCATCTCATCTCATCTCATCTTCTCAATTGTCCTCAGGGTGACCTAGTTCAGGAAGTGCATCAGGTGTTTTCCTCCTGGGCCACTCAGGTGGTGAGACTGTACAAGGGAGAGAACTATGCAGAGTTCCAGTGGACTGTAGGGCCCATCAGTGATAGGTCAGTGGAAATTCACCTGTTTTAACTGTTTTAAGGATTTAGCGGTCACGTATGTCCGATAAGCAGCAGACTAAATGCAATCAAAAAAAATAATATGTTACAGCACAATTCGAACCATAATGCTCAAATCAGAAACTAGATTTGCAATAAATTCTACTTTATCTTCATATAGTTGCTGAGAAATGGGACCCTGAGTTGCTTGAAAGATTCCTTAGGCTGATGGTTAGGTACCCTCTGAGATTGATGGGCAGGGGGGGGGGGGGGGGGGGGGGGGGTTGTTGTCGTTTTTTTGTGTTTTTTTAATCATTTTCAAAAATTGTGTAATTTTAAAGTCTTTTGAAACTGGTGTACTTCAAGTTCAACCAGATCGATAACAACAGTAACAGCAACTCAAATACAGACTTAGAGATGAGGAAACCGCCTATTCCAGACAGAGGAAGGAGACAGACAGAACGATGAAACCAAAAAAAAAAAATTAATCAATTTCTAACATTTTCAATGCCCTTGTCTAGAATAGGCCGAGAAGATCAGTATGATCATACTTCAGAGTGAATGTGTGGCTATAGTTTGTTGTGAAAAAATGGTGAAATGGTATAGGTTAACGCCTCTATCAACAAAAACTATTAGGTTATTTAAGAAGTTGGACCTTCGAATCAAACATCAAACTCTGAAGGGACCCAGCCAAATGGGAAATTCATGTAAAGTGTCTTCCCAGGGACACAATGTCAGACCGAGCTGACGCCCAAACCCACAAACTCAAGACTACAGATTTGGTAGCCTAACCACTAGGCCACCGACGACGCTAGTTTGTTGAGAAAGATGTTTGTCATTCCTTCTATGTGCTTGAAGGAAAGGAGAAGAGAAGCTGTCTTTGCAGTGTTTAGGCTAGGAACCACTGGTGTGTTGCCCATTATTTTGACGCGCAAATGCATTTCTCGCTTATTAATATTATGAGACTCCACCATAGACCATTTTGGAAAGTGAAGTATGACAGAGTCTAACACTGAGCAGTGGATATGATTTGTCAACTTTCACACTTCACAGTGATAGCAAAGGAAAAGAAATTATAGAAGCTCTGTTTCACATTTCACAGTGATAGAAAAGGAAAAGAAATAGAAGCTCTGTTTTCGTGATGTCTAATAACCACTGGTGCATTGTTCCAAAAACTCATCATTTTTTTATTTGTCCACTTTTACTCTTTACAGTGATGGCAAAGGAAAAGAGGTTGTTTCTCGTTTCTCGACTGGTATAGACAGTGGTGATCTGTTCTACACTGACTCCAATGGAAGAGAGATGATGGAGAGACAGTGAGTTAACCCCTTTTCTTTCGTTAAAAAACATGTATCTACTTTTAGTCAAAATGAGTTGACAACTGAGATGCTTGACTTTTTTTGAGTGACTTTCTTGCCCGGAAAGTAACTTTATTACAAACTTGAATCAGTCTGAGAGAATTGGCACATAATATATGAGCATGAATTTATGTTAAACAACAACAGTACCTAACTCTTATTGTCTCTAACATGCTATTTGAATATAAGTGACAAATTTTGAGTTAAATTAAAGAAGGCAGGTATTATATCAAGGTGAATATTTCATCCCCAATGACATAATTTGATCAGTTATGAAAGAGGGCGGGGGGGGGGGGGGGAACTGGCTGGATGTCACTGGCACATCACGGCATTATGGTATTCATAACCCTTGGAGTTTGCAAAGTCTGTTATCTTTTTGTCCGTATAGTAAAATGTTATCAATGTGCAAATACCACTATGCTATATAAACCATTTATTTGTGGATTACACCAACGTATCAAGGGTGTTTTCCTTCCCGTCAAATTCACAAGAGAGACTTTTATTTCAGGCGAGATGCAAGAGAAACCTGGGACTATCAACCCAAAGATTTAATCTCTGGTAATTACTATCCCATCACAAGTCGAATTTTGATTAAAGTAAGTCTTTGGTTCCACATTTCCAGTTATTTTTTTTAGTTTTCTCAAGCTAATTTTATCATGAAGACAACTTATCTATTGTCTTGCACTGTTGTTAGGGGGATTTGTTTATTTGATGCTAGTATTCATAAACATTCTCTTCAGTCTGTTGAAAAAAGGGCAGCTTTGGATAGCTGCTGCATTTACTAGGTGTATTGTTTATTCCAGCACGTTTATTACTAACAATTTTCAAGACACCTGTATAGATAATATTATTGTGTCAAACATAAGCAAATATTTTTTGGAATTGAACAGTTGTTAATTTGAAGAAGACATAGGGCTAATTATTTTGTATACGTTGACTAGGTACGCAGGGGAAGAAAAGCCAACTGTGTGAAGAGCTAGAAGCTGGGGAGAGCAAGGGATGGAAGTTTCTTGAGCTTTGTTATAACATCACTATTTCTCTCTGTCTCTCTCTCTCTTTCTCTCTCTCTCTCTCTCTCTCTTTCTCTCTCTCTCTCTCTCTCTCTTTCTCTCTCTCTCTCTCTCTCTCTCTCTCTCTCTCTCTCTCTCTCTCTCTCTATCTCTCTCTATCTCTCCCTCTGTCTCTTTCTGTCTCTGTGTCTGTGTCTGTCTCTTTTTGTCACTGTCTCTGTCTCTTTCTGTCCCTTATTTTTGGCTGAACTATATAAATTAGAGTTAATTGTTTTGACGCTCACTATAATCATCTTGTTATTTGTACAAATGTTAGTTTTATACACGACGAAAGAACCAATTCAAAAAGGCTGATCTCATACAGCAGTAGCATTATCTCTAAATCTTTGTGTTAATTTTCACAGGATCAGCAGAGGAATGTCCAGCTCACTGTCTTGCCGGACAGACCACAAGGGGGAGGCAGCATAAGTTCAGGAGACGTAGAACTCATGGTCAGTGGCTGTCCTTAGTCCAACTGCAGTGGGGTTCGTTTAAACTCAACACGGTTAATTAGACAGCAGCAGTACTGGAAGGAAATAAAATCTTTTATTTTTTTGTTAGGTTTGTATTTTGAGCAACATCTCTAAATGGAGAACAGGACAAAACCGAAGAAAATTTTTCAGTTCCACAGATTTCAATGTTGTTAGCAGACTCCACTGAATTGGTTTCTTTTTTTACTTTACTTGAATCAAAGCTCTTCTCTCCTTGGGGTATGTAGGGGGAAGGGAGGTGGGTGTAAAAATATTTGAGTGCTCTTAAACATGTTGTAATGGACAACTGTCCAAGTGCTTTACGAACTACTATTTCCCTCTTCTCCCCTAGCATTTTTTCCTGTTCAATTATAATGACTTTGTTCAAGACTTTCATGTATCTAAGAGAAACACTTTTCTCCTTGAGCTTTGTAATAACATCACTATTTATCTGTCTCTCTCTCTTTCTCTCTCTCTCTGTCTCTCTCTCTCTCTCTCTCTCTCTCTCTCTCTCTCTCTCTCTATCTCTCTCTCTCTCTTTCTCTCTCTCTCTATATATATATCTTTCTCCGTCTCTCTTTTTCTCTCTCTCTCTGTCATTTTGGACTATTTCAACCGACTGTTCTTTTAGTCTTCTATGCTGTAAATTTTGTTCATGGCACTTTTAGACTCTCTACTTATTATCTCCATTAAGCAAGAATATTACTATGAAGAATTTGTCCATATTACTGGTCAAGCAGTTGTCCCCCTTGATTATCAATTAAATGCGGCTTAGGCCTATAGATTATGTATTAAACAAATGGCAATGTGGGACCTGTACAGATACTTTGATTGTAGTGACTGGTTTTGTTTTAGGGGAAAATGAGGTGTTAAAAATAGATTTATCCCTCTGCTCAATACTTGACATACATCACTTCATCATTCAAATGACTATTCTAAAACAGGTTCACCGGAAGCTTCGGTTTGATGATGGCCTTGGAGTGGGAGAACCATTAGACGACTTTGGCTCAGACTACAGAGGAATTGTTTTCACGGGTGAATTGAAAATATCTTCTCCTTTCTCTCGATCGCATCACGTCGGCCTGTACAGTTTCTATTGTAGTGTCAATGGGTTCGCCACATTTCCTGTCTCAGGGCCCTGTGTGTCTTGTAGTGTATGAAAATATGGATCTCATTATATTTTCAAGTCCATAGAATGTGAATCATTGATTAACTTTTATGTTTGCTTCTGAAGCAATGATGGGTTTTTTTTTTTATTGTATTCTTTAAAATTCTGAATTTTATCCATGGGAGGATAAGCTTAAAAAATGTCTCCTCTTCCATTAAAAAAAAATTGTGATCAATTTTAACACACAGCGTAAAAGATCAAGGGGAAGACAACATGGAATCTGGAGAAGAGTCACAGAAATTAATGCACAGAAAAGTGGAAGACATGGAATAACACAGCATAGGGAAAGTTGGAAAGTGTTTGTTCGTGGCCTATACCCTGACCCAGGGTGAGAAAGGCAATGAGGATGAAATTTTAACCTTAGAAAAGATTGTCAAAGTACGAATATTTCTTAACTGGTATCAATATTCCAGAAAGAAAAATTAATTACCAGTTTTGTTTTGCATTTGAGCAACTTCTCTAAATGGAGATTTTTTTTACTTGCTTTTCCAGGTAAACATTGGTTGTGTTTGGACACCAAAGAGAGGTCAGCTGAACTGGTGAAGCGACTTGCCTACCAGCTACACATGGCGCCTGCTACCATGTTCACACCAACCGGGGATGAAGATTCAAGCAGTGGGCTCTTGATAAAGCAGGTAGGGTAATCTTTTCTTTTGCTCTTTTGGGTGTTCTTATGAAGGTTGGTAAACATGAAGCATGCTGACAAAATGAATTACTTCTTGGATTTTTAGCTTGATAAAAATAGATACATCAAATTTATAGGTTGAGTTTTTACAATTTATTAGTATGAAATGATAAAAGACATAATAAACTTGAAGAGAATGGCCTTGGCTTTGAATCTATTAATATGACCTTTGTGTAGATTTTCGTCCAATATCTCCTTTCAGCACGCCTCACAATTGTCTCTCAAAGATCTGAGACAAATTTCTGCATTACATGTAATACTTCTGGATGATACGTTAAAATGTTTGGTCTGCTTCTCCACACTAGCATTTTGATGATTGTTCTATTTTAAAACAATTTGTACATATGTAAGGTGCATGGTGAAATTAAATACTCATCAAAATAATGAAATCAAAGAAACTTACATTTTTTCTGCTCATTTGACAATAATTTATCTAATTTTTGTTTTTTTGGCTCAACATCTTTTACGTCCATTTGAAAACTCGTTCATGTGTGCACTTTACTGAAAAACGTTGATTAACAGCACAAAAGTGTTTTGCAGTTTTCAAGGGCTCTCAAGTCTAGGAAGCCACTTAACTGTGGTGGCCATTTTCTCAAAGATGTTACCTCTGAAGCCTGACAACCCCCACCTCTTTCAATAGCAAATATCTCGACTTCTATTTCTATTCAAGATAGATGGGTATTTTTTTCATAGAAAGCACGACAAATTAACAAGCTTTAAGATGAAATTGATAACTGATCCACATGTCCAAAAATTGACGAGCACCAGATCCACCTCGTCGAGACGCATATGTTGTTTGAGTCTTGTGTATAGTGTTCCTAGTCTGATGACAATCACTTGTTCTTTGCTTGGCAGCTCATTGTAGATATTTGGTATCTGTGGTGCTTTAATGTGTTTCCGTGTATCAAATCTAAATTATTCCATAATCATCAGAATGTATAGGTTATTATCAGCTGGTTCAAAAAACAAATAGACTGTTTCTGTTCACTGTATGAAGCACTGCTCAGTTGCTGTTTCTTCAAAGTCTGTCTGACAAACATTTTTATGTAAAAAGAGTCTTAAGATGTGTGAATCCATTTCTTACCTGATATTCTCTTATTAAGATAAGACTCTTTTGAGTAGGGAGTCAAAATATGTACCTGCTCTTTGCTCACCTCATTTTATTTTTTTTGTTTCATCTCTGCAGCAATCCTTTTTGACAAGCCCTCTCCCAGACAATGTCCATATCCTCACCTTGGACAGAATTGGGAGCAATGATTCCAGTTTTTTCTTGCTTCGTTTGGAGCATGTCTTTGAAAAGAAGGAACATTCAGTTCTCTCACTGCCAGCAACCGTATCATTAGAGGTAAAAAAAAAAAATTTTAATTGTTGTAATTTCTTAAATGATTTGCTTTGGGGGGGTTTTTAAAATAATGTAAAGAATCAGTCATTCTGCATCAGGATTGAATGTTAACTTTCTATCTCCGATGGGAGTAAACCCACTATACCGGGGCCCTTTTTTGGTGCTACATCTAAAAATGACAAAAACGTCATTAAATGGGTCATTAAATCGAAACTAGCAAACCTATTTCGATAGTTCTTCATCTAATGAATGAACTTCTGGTAGAAGAGACCGGTTTTTCAGCATTTGCTGAAAAGTAATTTGATGTCGAATTCGTCGCAAACGAATGTGCCTGAGCCACTGTCAGCGGATCACCGGCACAGTGGTTCTGACCGCGAGCCGCTGGGAGCGGCTTGCCGCAGATAAAGAATTAAAAATGAAATTTCTGGAATACCTAATGATCTTTTTGTAAATGCAAATACAACTCATTCTGTTTTTAGGAATTAGCAAAGATCCCTTTGTATTGTGTTGGGGTTTGTTTGTTGTTGGGTTTTTTGGGGGGGTTGCAAAAATACAATTTCTTTAATTTCCAGTTTTTGTTTCATAAACAAAGTTTGCAAATAGTATTTTCTAATCAAAAGAACAAAATTGCTCTAGGTGTAATAAAGGTAGATCTAGTTTTATGTATAGGTCTATGTATAAACAAAGTTATAACCTATCATCCATATATAGCTTTCAAGACAGAATGAGGTTAAAGCAATTTTGTTGTTCCCCTTAAAGTGAAATTTCTTTCGGTCTTGATCATTGTCAAAGTTATGGTCTTGCAACACTCTTTCATATTTTTCAGTAGGGGTGCTGATTTTTTTATGGATGATGTGTTAGAATTTTAATTATTCTCCTCCAGAACTTGTTCCAGCCTTTTGACATTGCTACTGTTGAGGAGACGACGCTGGGGGGAAACTTCCGCCCTCATGATATTTCACGCCTTCAGTGGGAGACTACAAATGGTCGCACCCCTGCCAAAATAGGTGAGTAGCTTGTTGTTGTTGTTGTTTTCAAATCCCTTTAGCTGCAAGCATTTCGCTCTTGGCAATGTGAGTAGCTTAGACTGAACTTTATTACTTTGTATATAAAGAATGGAATAATCACGTTAGATTATTATCCGTACTTAATTTATTAATTCAATTTACCATTCGTAGAAGTGTGTGCCTTAAAAGGCTTGGATTCCCAATTGGCTATATTATGTGTACAAAGTAAAACAGGGATGTGAACTTCTCTTGTTTGAAACCTAACGTGGCATTCTTTGTCTTGACTTCTTTACATTTTTCACAGCTGTCTACCTTTGTGAATCCGTTGTACCGGAGACAAAAGATGAATCAGAGGCCCGTGTCTAGAAAAGGATCATATTGCGCTGAAGGGAGCTTTAAATCAAATTGTACCATTAATTATAGATTTAATGCTACGCTCCGATTCTTACTGATATTTCAAACTTTTTACTCCAAGTTGTGCTTGATATTTCTCTTGATAATTTCATTGAAATGATTGAGTCTTTACCCCTTGAGGGGTTGTCCCACTTTGCCGGAGCCTCTGTTGGCATGAAACCTGAGAGTGACGTACACATCACTAAATTGGTCATTAAATCAAAACAAATGAACTTATTTTAACCCTATCCGTACACCCTGTGATCATTTTGTACCCCCAGGGTTTTATTCTTTACATTTTAGAATACTTGTAGTGTGAAGGTCTCTTTGAAACTTTCAGTATTTCTCAAAAAATCTTTTTGACAGACTACTATGCAAAGCCTACGGATCAGATTAACGAGTAAATTTCCTCTTTGGAAAGTGGTGGCACAGAGTTCCCCACATCAAATGGATATGACAGTAAAACACGACGTACGGATAGGGTTAATAGCTCTCTGTCTAATAAAAGATTTCCAGGCAAGAGAGACCTATTTTCAGCAATTGCCAAAACTTACTAGGACCTATAATGTTGTCATTGTTTTAACTCTTTCACTACCAGGGGGTTTTCCTCACCTGAACCAGGTCCTGTCTGTGACCTACTTTCTGATTCTGGCTACCCTCGGACAAATTAACGATTTTTAGTTCAATTTTCAATATTAGCCACCTGTATAATTCCTGAATATAAAGGGGAAATAATGGCCTATCTCAGCACGCTGCTAAAAACGATCATTCTTTAGCCTGAGATTTCAGTTTCGATAGTCACAAAAGTAGGACTGGTTTTGGAGCACAAAGTGGAGATTCAGGAAACATGGCCCGTGGTCCAGCGTTGGGAGTAACACGAGTCCTTAGGCATACTTTTATTAAATGTTAGGGAGGAAGATGACGAATTAATTCCAAAATTCTGGTCACTCTATGCGAAGAGTTGGGAATGGGGGTGTGGTCCCCCCCCCCCCCCCCCCCCCCAACAGGACAGCCTGGCTGGGATCCAGAGTAAGGACCAAACAAAAAGTGAGATACACTTAACACTAAGATTAACATGCACATTATTTCCTATATTAGAGCATCATCGGGGGTTGTTGTGGCCTAGAGGTTAAGGTGTTGGCCTCTCATTCAAAGGTCCCAGGTTCAAATCCGGGTAGCGACCAAAATGTTTTCTTCTCTAAAATAGTCTCTTTTCTCCTCCTTTCCTGCTCTCTAGCAAAGTTCTGTTGTCTGCTTTAATTTCCACTTTCTGCCCCCACCCCCTCACCTCCTTTGCCCCCTCCTCTGGGCTCCTGACTCTTTCTGCAGCCTTTCTACTGCTACTCTTTGGCTCCTCCTTACTGCTGTCTTTCTGCCACACTCCTGATCTTCTGGTAGGAAAGATCTACACCCAGCCTTCTCGGACAAGGGAGAAAAATCTCGGAGGGCCCGTGTGCAAGTTGCGCACGTTAAAGATCCCTTGGTGGTCTAAAATCGATAAGATTAGGCTTCGGCCACCACTCGGGCAAAATTCAAAATTTCCTACCAACTGAAATTATTAGGTGTGTCCCGCGCGCTCATATGACCTTATGCAGTTGCGAGCGCAGTAAAACACTTTACAAAAACAAACAAGAGCGTCATTATCGTTACCATCATAATCATCATCATCATCATCATCATCATCAACCAAACAATTCGTCTTTTTCTTGTTGTGCTTTTCTTCCTTCTTATCTCTTGAAACATAACGATTTGTACCATGTCAATACATTTTTACGTAACCTATAAATATCGGCACCAAAATCAGGACACAGGAGAAAAAAAAAAAGAAAGAAAAAAGCCAAAAGCCATGAAACACGGCCAGAGGTAGTGAAAGAGTTAAAAGAATGTGACTGAGCTACTGACAGAGGATCACAGCATATTAATGGGTGGTTGGCGGGTGCTCTGGGGTGGTTTGCTCCTTTTTTCCTATCAAACATCTATCTTCCTTAGCTCTCCTCCTTCTTTTTTGTGTGTGTTACTCTCTTCTAACACATCTATTCTTTGGCACTTATATGACCTATTTGTTTTGCAAGTGCCGTAAAACTTTTACTAAAACTAAATGGCATATCAGTCCCAAGTCCTAGCTGTTGGGAGCAGCTTGCAAGAGATGAGAAGTTAAAACGCACTGTTGTCAAAAACAATCTGATTGATTCCCTTTTGTTTTTCCTTTAAAGTGTAAACTTATGATTCATGTCAACACACTCTTCACATTGTCATATTTACGTGAATGCTACTTACTTTTTCATGCACAGGTTCACCAGACTACAGACAGGATATGGTTGCACCTTTCAAAATTAAATTGGAACCGATGGAAATCCGAACATTCAGAGTACAAACAGTGCCCAACTCCTGATGACAGAAGTGCCTAATGTGGTTGTGTTCCTGTTTTCTTTATATTTTTATGACACTGATTAAAAATGCAAATTGCCAAGTTAGGGCCTGTTATCATCAGTCTTGAGGCAAATCTTTTTTTTTTTTTAGGAGTTGACAACATATTTTATTCAGAGCAGTTTTATCCATAGCTACTTTCCTTACACAAAGACTGCAAATTGTTAAACTAAGGTCTGTAATGGCCAATTATTGCTGACTGTTCTTCTTTGGATGAGAATAGTTCAGATGTGCTCAGACAAGGAAGAATTCAACTAGGTTCTTATACTAGATTGAAATGGTCAAAGGACATGCTTACCTTCATTTTGACTCCAAACAAAGATAGTACATAACAAGATGGGCCACTCAGCCAAAAAAAGTGTCCACCGGAAGTCCGCTCTTTGCTTCAGATGGCGCTGCAGTCTGTTTTGAAGCTCTCTTTCATTTTTCCAGAAGAAGAATAGGAATAGCACCTCCTTGCGTGCGCAGATCGACTGCTGTTCATCAGCAGTTCGGGTTCGTTCAGTGCAGAGTTTTAGGGGTTTTTTATTTTAATGACCTCTCGCTTTCATTTTATAGTCAAATTAAACGAAGAAAACAATCACTCTTTCCTTCGGAAGAGGTTTTTTGTCTGCGGAACCATTTTAAAAAAGCATTCTTCCGAAATTTATCCAAAAACTTGCTAGTTTCACTTTGATTTTTTAAATTCAAATAGGGTAACTCTGTTCGCAAAGGGTGCGCTTTTGCGAAGAGGGCGCCACCGAATTTTGAGGACACTTTTTTAATTGGCTAAAAGAAAGGAGTGGCCCCTTTTGTTATGTAGACTCTTTGCTCCAGATCAGTAATGTCAACTTATGAATGAATTCAAACAAGCTATGAGCAGTTGTTTCATCTTTATATGGACTAACATAGGTTGCTAATAGTTTACTGAAGTATTAAGCTAGTGAAAATTAATACTCACTCTCACTTTGAAAAATGTGATGAGATTTACAACAAAATTCCATCGATTAATTGACCGTAGCTGAGTTGTTTCATTGTCAGCACAAAAAAAAAAAAAGACAGTCATGATGTGAATGAAAAGTTTTGGTTTTTGTGGTTGATGATTGTTTTTTTAATGTAAATTGCTAGCCATCTCCATCTCATCTCTTCTTGAATGAAAAATGAAAAGATGTCTCGCACAGTTTTGTTTTGTGCTCAACATTCAAAAGAAATGGCACTCTAAGGAATGGGTTTCTGAAGTGGAGGAAATTTCTACACTGAAGAGACTGATTTGGTGGGGAGGTTTGTGTGAGGAATATTGGACAACTATTTCTTCCAGTTCAACGAGACCGAATGCAAAATTGATTTATTCTATCATAACTAAGATACTGATTGCTGACTACAGGCTCTCAGAGCTATGAAAAAAGTACTCTGTGTGTGCGTAGTGACACTGAGTCTCACAGACTACTGTATGGCACAACCGGTCAATGGAGAAATGGAAAAAATGGGCACTAATAGATACAAGTATCAGTTATCATAGCACAGTGTGATATTGATTTCGTTCAACTAAATAGTCCCTTCTTTCAGCAAAATTTTGGTTAGATACAATATATTATGCCTTTCCATGTTTTAAATTCCTAACCTGAACACTGTTTATTCATAAGGAAAGCAGCTGAAGTTAATTAATACTAACAATAGTTTCAAAAGATGACTGTGTAATACACTGGCCAAGTAAAACTCTATTTTTCATGTCACTTTGAAGAGCGTTGAGAGAAATCTGTTCAGTACTTCTCGTTATCGTTACTTCAATTTTGTATTACTGTTAATTTTTTTTTCAGCTACTACTGTCATAAAGTTTACAACAGTTCGCATATTATTATACTTGCTCAGGAGTTGTCTTTATGTTACAAAAGTTTATTATCTTCCTCTTTGAGAGATGATGAGAGTTTACTCAAGATCAAAGACACCGGAAAATGCTCAGTTTAGTCATACCAATCATTTGATGCGCTTGATATTTTTACCCACTGAACCAGGACCAACAGTATGTAGTGCTCAAAGAGATTGAAAGAAACTTACCCTATATATTTGGGATTTTCTTGTGCAGCCATATGTGTATGTAGACATATTATTTTATGATGGTCCAAAGATTGTATACTGTAAGATGGGTAGGGCTACTCCTCTATTTGACATGATACAAAAAAAGGAAAGTTCTGATTAGTGTTTCTGGTGAGATCTATGGTAATGTTGACAGCAGGATTGCTATTGAAAAAGTGAACATAAATGATTCATCCCGAGGCGAGGTCTATGCCATTGTGTATAGATAGCGGAGTGCACTTTTTTTAGAGAGAAACTTATCTTGTATGTATACAATGTTTGGTCGACCTTAGCATATTGGGATTTTTTTCTCCTTTAGATTGAGAAGGAGATAGGCTCACAGAAGTTCATGATTTGCGTAAGTTATGAAATATATATCAATGAATGAATACGCTGATGCATGAGGAGATGTGAATGAGTTTGCTTCAGTAAATGTTTTTCTGTTGAGAAAAAGAGCTTTAACCCAATCTGGCACATTTCCATCTCATGTACATTATTGTTTTCTGGTTCAGTAAAGTCGTTAACTCAAGACATTGTCAGAGCTAAAAAGTTACTGATATCGAGCTAAAAAGTTACTGATATCCATTTCCTGTTACTTTGGTTTACACAGGTTTATTTCATTTACATGCATATTTCAACACAAAGCACTTTGCTCTCTATCTCTGCTCAATACAAAGGCTTCAACTTGTATCACAACATAGTTAGGGTACACATTCCATTTATTTTGATTACCCTCCATAATAAGTGTCTGTGCTTAGTTTAGACTGTTTTTGGATCTTCGGTTTCTACTTGTATTGGATAACATCAAATTGCCTCATGTGAGTGGATGAGAGAATGTCCTAGTTAATGAGAAATCAGAAACAATGTTTTATAAAATCAAATTAGAACTCCTCAATCGTAAAACAGTTTAATTCCTTCAGAGCCACATAATATCAAACCTCAATGAGAGGCAAAGAAGGATCTAACAGAACCTAAAACTACATCATTGTTCATTAAAATGCTCGTACTTCTCTTTATTTATTACAATACACTAGATGTAGAAAGGATTCAAACTCAGAAACAAGGCTTCATAGATAGCACCAAAAAAAAATTTCAAGAGAGAGAAAGATAGAGAGGGAGGGGGAGTTTAAGAGAGAGAGAGAGAGAGAGAGAGAGAGAGAGAGAGAGAGAGAGAGAGAGAGCCCTACTGATTTACTGATAACTTTCAATAAGAGTGTAAAGCAATCTACATATCATCAAAGCTTCCAGTAAAGAAGCAATATGGGCTTGTTTTTCTTTTCCGAGCAGTTAGCTTTATTGTCCAAACCTTCAAATGAAAATCTTAAGAGTTCTTGGATTTTCTGATGGACTGAATGAGCTGGGAGGGGAGGGGGGGTGGAGGGTGCATTTTTATGAATCCCAGAGGAAAAGGCATGATCATAAATTAAATGAACTTACAGTCTGTATGATCAGAATTTTTAATTTTATTTTTTGGGATAAAACTATTATTCTCTTTCATACTCATCTTTTCACAAACGTGTTTATATATTATGTTCTCGGTATTATATTTACTCTATGAGTAAACTATGAAAAACCACTTGTGCTTTGACTGATGATTTGTGATTTGATTCATCCATTTTGCTGCTTGAAAGTTTTATGTACCCTGTCTGTTACTTTCCAAATCGTACTTGGAAAGTGCAGTTAATAAGGGAACAGATGGGGGTGAAGGAGAGAAACAGAGAGATTGAACTATATAAAAGCTGCCCAAAAATTATTGTAGTTTACCGGTACATCAGCATCTGTGATGTAGTACAAGACTCTTTACTTACCATGCTGAGACGGCGTCTGTTGCTGCTTCTTCCCTGCAGGGATTGGGGGAGGAGGGAGGTAGGCTTACTTTCCTTGTACTTCTCTCCGCCACTTATACCCTTTTGGGTGTTGTGGGAAGAAAGAGACATCTCTCTGCCACCAGCCGGAGAGCTTCGGTCAGGGGGATGCCGTAAGACTACCAAGTGAAAAAAAGTTGAGAAATACATGTATGTGGAAAGGGCGATTTATTTTGAAAGGATGTACATGTAATAGTAAGAGACAAGATGAGAATGAACAATTCGGTCATATTGGATGATTTATCAGTTTCTTTGTGAAGGTGTTTATGTCTTTGTGTGTGTGTGTGAAAGTGTTTATGTCTTTGTGTGTGTGTGAAGGTGTTTATGTCTTTGTGTGTGTGTGTGAAGGTGTTTATGTCTTTGTGTGTGTGTGTGTGAAGGTGTTTATGTCTTTGTGTGTGTGTGTGAAGGTGAATGTGCTTGTAACATGTGTGTATACATGTGTGTGTGTGTACATTTGTGTGTAGGTGTGTATATGTGTGTGTGTGTGTGTGTACGAATGTATGTGTGTGTGTGTGTGTGTGTGTGTGTGTGTATTTTTGTGCGTGTTTGTGTTAATCATGTATAAGTGTCAGGTTGTAAATATTCTTGAACCTATTAGTTTATTTCATCATGATATACAGCAGTGATATAGCTTGGGGTGAACTTTACACTGACAAATATTCAATAGCTACTCTTTCTCATGCAAGAATGTCTATTGGGTACAAGCTGAAAGACTAGCAATAAGGACTATGGGTACGCTTGTGAATCTCTTTTACTCCCATTTTGGGTCCATTTACACCCCCTTTCACTGTGCAAATATGTATGTATTTCATGCCATGGAAAGATCTATAAGAAATCAAGTCATAGCTGTTCAGTGAATATATGATATGTATATATATATATATATTTTGTTCATTGTACATTGTAATAATCATATATAATAGTTTGTGTTCTCAAATGTTGATGATCCTGCATGCTGTTTTGAATGACAATGGCTATAGTAATGTATATTTTGACCTGCACACGCTTTATAGGCTTGAATTGTGAAAAGATCAGTCTTCTGTGTCAACTAAGCATAAGTTAAAGATTTGTGTCAGTTGAGTTCCATATTTGCTGTTGTTTGTATTCATTGATTACCAGTAGGCCTATGGTAGTTATATGCTGGTTTTTCTTTAACACTTAATTTATTTAGGGGGAAGTTTTTCTTAAGGCATTTTATCAAAAGCAAACCGTGAACCATTTAAGTAGAAGATAAAGAAATATTTAAAAATTAAAAGTACTTTCTTGTTATTTGGGGGGGGGGGGGGGCATGAGAGGAGGGGGGAAAAGCTAGCTATTCAATTTTTGGAGGTTTGTCTCCCCCAGAGGATAGTCTGCTTGTCTTTGTATAGCTACCAAGTTCAGAATTTCTTTTGCAGGGATGCAAATTCCTCACAGCTCTAATGACCACTGCAAGAACAAGGAGACTATTTATATATATATCAGGTT